GTTTGCTTTTCTCCTCTTCTTTCCGAGGTCCATTTATTTCTGTGCCTTGTCTTTTATATTCCAATCAGGGTTGTTCTTGCAGCTTTGCGACCCCTTAAATATTAATAACATTATTGATTCATGGAAGTAGTGGTGTACTTAGCATATCTGACACCTGGAGCAGATCATTTTTTAAAATATCCCCTCCTTCATTGCTAAGAGCCAGTTTGATTTAGTGGGTAAAGCAACAGACTAGAAACCAGGTGATGGTGAGTTCTAGACCCACCTTACTCACTAAAGCAGGTGAGTGAGCTTGGGCCAGTTGTTCTTGTCATACCTAGGAGAGAATGCATCTGTCAAAAAAAAAATGCTGCTAAGAAAGCTGCAAGAGTCAAAATTGACTTGAAGGGGCATTTTTTTCCTTCTAACAGCTGATCCACACCCACTACTAACCTTCTTATATCTTCACCCAGATTACACCACCCTCTTCTCCCACCTGGCATGCCATAAAATTATGCAACCAAGATTTTTGTCTCAACCAGATGCTGACAACCCAATTTAGAGCATCTTGTGATTGTCCAAACTGTTGTTACCAGAGGTGGGTTTCAGCAGGTTCTGACCAGTTCTGGAGAACCGGTAGCGGAAATTTTGAGTAGTTTGGAGAACTGGTAGTAAAAATTCTGACTGGCCCCGCCCCCATCTATTCTCCGCCTCCCAAGTCCCAGCTGATCGAGAGGAAATGGGGATTTTGCATTAACTTCCCCTGAATTGGGGTGGGAATGGAGATTTTACAGATTTTACAGTATCCTTTTCCCTGCCACGCCCACCAAGCCATGCCACGCCCACCAAACCATGCCACGCTCACCAAGCCACACCCACAGAACCAGTAGTAAAAAATTTTCAAACCCACCACATGGCTTATATTGCCATGAAATAATTCTATGCTGGTCAGCATTCCCACCTGACAGGGGACTGCGATGGCAGTCATTAGAGGATCCACATGCAAACTCACCTGCAACCTAAATGTGCATTGCATTTGTTATTGCAGTAAGTAAGAAAAATATCAATCACAGTGGGAAGGTAGCAAAAGCACCGACTACTTACTTGAAAAAAGACTAATGGGTGGAGATCGTTGGGCAATGAAGTCCACACATTTGGAAGTTGCCGAAGTTAGGGAAGGCTGATTTATGCTGTGCAGGGGTAATGGACATTGGTTTAGGTTTATGTCTGCCCTGTATCATATTCTCCTGATCACATTGGATCGTAAGGGAATGGATGGGGTATTTTTTATTGGCCTTGAAAATTTATTTTTAAATGAATGATCACATTCATTGGAGCCTGTCAATTTGTAGGCACAATGAGAGTCTGGGTAGGCATAAGAAAAGCAAGTAAATAAGAATAAGAGGGAATGGTTAAAAGGATGAAGGGGAGTAAAACTGAAATACGCATTCAAAACATTGTAAAAGGATGCGATATGACATTTCTTTCTGTTGAAACACTCCATTAAGTAATGATGGAAGTATTGTGCACGCAGAGGGAAATTACAAAAGGATGCCAAAACTGAGGGTTACTTTTATTTACCTGATCATATAGGAAAACATTTCCCTCCACTACTGAAAAGAAGCATTCAGTACTATTGGCATCCTAATTTAATGCAATTTAACAATGAAAGCTGATTAAATTGCAGCATGATGTTCCTCCTGCCTCTCACGGCCACTCCCACATACCACAACATCCCTTGCTGGTGCCTATGCAGTTATTTTCTGACTTAATTTCCCCCAAACAATCTAAGCATGGGGGGTGGGGGGAGTAGGCGAGTGGGGGAAGAGACTGAAGGACTATAAAACTCTCCCAACAAAGAAATCTGTGTCAGAATAGAGCTGGAAAGGACCTTAGAGGTCTTCTAGTTCACGGATGTCAAACTCGATTTCATTGAGATTTCATTGATCTCAGGGGGGCGGATCCAGGGTGGATGTGGCCAGCTTGACATCACTCATGTTGGGGGCACCTGTGGTGGCCTGAGTGCTCTGCCAGCAAAAATGGAGCTCAGGAGGGCCAAGCTCCATTTTTGCTGGCAGAGGCACCGCGGGCTGGTCCTTCACTAATTCCAGGGTGGCCCCATGGGCCAGATCTAAGCACTCCGTGGGCCAGATCCAGCCCGCGGACCTTGAGTTTGACACCCCTGTTCTAGTTCAACCCCCTGCTCAAGCAGGAGATTATACCATTTCAGGCAAGTGGCTGTCCAGTCTCTTCTTAAAGGCCTCCAGTGATGAAGCACCCACAACTTCTGAAGGCAAGCTGTTGCCAAGGTTAGCCTTTTCTGATCTTCTTTGCACCCACTGCAGGTGTTTGGGAAAGGAATCCTAAGTAAGTGTGCAGAATTGATCAATAAAGCTTTTGTAATTTTGTTCATTTGGGCACCTGCCATTCATTCCTCCTTCAGAATTTGAACTGTGTCCACTCACCTCAGTTGGCAAAACAAAGCAACATAAATCCATATGTTAACTTGAATGACAGCTTGTCATCCCCAAGATAATAGGTGCCTAGGGAGGCATTATTTTAAAAGTAGACACTGGGTAAGGTGAGACGCTGTCTTTATTTCTGAGGCTCCGGGGATTTAAACTTCAAGGTGGGTTTGGGCCCTAAACTGACAAAAAATGTGATGATTTCAGGTTAGCCTTGTTTCTTGACAGACAAGCCTGAAATCAAACTGGAGTAAATTTATCACTGTCTGAATTTTTTTATATGCAACTTAACAACATAAGCATTGCCATGATGTATGGTTTTTCCACTACTGTTCAAGCCGTTTAAGCAAATCAGAACTTTTTATTATTATTATGGTTCATCACACAGTCAGCCAGAGCTTTAAACTGGATTTGGCATTCAACGGAGTCCTTCCCAAAGACCTGGCATAGACACATGTTGTTGTTTGATGTTGTTAAAAGTATCATACAGGATGTAAGCTGTTCCCGTTAAAGCTGCCTTTTGTAACTGGTGATTTTGTCAGTGCTGATGATATTGAGGTGATGCTCCAGGTGTTTTAAGATTGAACCAAAGGTGCCTATTGTTTTCCATCTTTGTATATTTGCAATGGGTAAACAATTTTTCTTGTGGCATTGGCTCTGATTCCTCAGCCAACAATCCTAAATCTTGGAGTCCATTTGTCTACAGATGTCCAGAAACTCCAACACTCAGCACGGTCCTTATTGACTATTATTATGATGCTCGTTCCTAAATCATTCAGATGTTTAGACTGAATTTGGCATTTTTATCAACCTGTTGAGACCTTCCTAAGATTCTGAAATAGGCAGGTGTGGATGTCTGGTGGTGTTAACATCACAGAATGTTCCAAGTAAAGCTGCCTTTCACAATTGAGTGATGGTGGCTTAGTCAATGTCAGTGGTGTTGTTACTCCAGTTCTTTTAGGATTGCACCCAAGACTTCTGTTACTATTGGTACTACCCTTGCTTGCTTTTGCCACAGTCGTTCTATTTCTATTTGCAGGTCTTTGCATTTTGTTATCTTCACCAGTTCTTTCTCTTCTATTCTGCTGTCTCCAGGTACTGCCATGTCCACTATTCAGACTTTTTTTTTTCTTTTTTGTTGACAATTGCTAAGTCTGAGATGTTATGTGGCAGGTGCCTGTCTGTTTGAATTCTAATTTTCCAGAGCACTTTAGCTTCTTCATTTTCTGTTACTTTATTTTGTGGCCCTCCCAGTTCTTGCTTGCAGACAAATGGCATTTCTTGCAGATCTTCCAACGTACCATTGTTGGTAGTCAGTCTGTGTGATCTTCTTGCCACATCCAATTATTTTTATTATTTTCAGGCATCCATGGCAGATTTCATTACCAGAAGGTTTCTACAATTACCCTTTCCTTCCTGACCTGGCTCCCTTCCAGGACTTCTGGGCCAGAGAAGGCATAGTTTTAGACAGTATCATCTTTGACTCCAGCCGGTGAGAAGGAATACGGTCATCGGGGTTAAGAAGCCATTTCCATCATGCTCCTTCACTGAGAGGCTGTAACATTTGTCATTCTTGCTGCCATTAAAAAAAAAAGCATGACTAAAGTCTTTATTTGTCCCCTCTTTCTTTTCCATATCTTTTTCATCCACGCTTCATCTTGTCATCTGTGTAATGGAGCTTAGGGACTCTCTTGGTGTTCAGTCAAAGAACCCCTTTTGTGAACAGTTTAATAATTCTAGGAATGATAAATAAATCATCATGATGAATAAACTAGTGAAGAAGAAAGAAACAAAAGAATAGTCCTCAAAAACTAATTGTCCAGTCAAGAAAAAGAGAGAGTATTGGGATATAAGAAGCCGGGTGTTAGAAGTACAGGCACTTCAGGACATTAAAGTATACATTTATTGTCTCAGTAAAGACAGTAAAAAGACAAATCTGATCTTCAGCTTTGGGTGCACTTGCCATTTTGATGTATGGCTTTCAAAGTAAATGGAAGCATGGAAAAGTGCATTTTGTTGTTTACTGCGAGGATATATTGAGATGTTACAAAATACAAGTGAGTTGGGCACTCTGGGATGGGATGGGCTTAAGTGTTAAATCCCATTCTCCACTGGAGGCCTACTTTCTCATCTCTGATGGGAAATCAGGCCATGGTCTTAATATAAATCAAGAATTTCCCTGCCAGGCATGACTCTGTTTTAAATTTTTCTCTTATGCTTCCATGTAACTAAGCTTAAGAAGCAGAGGTTGGCATCTGTAAGTTTCTGTAAACTGACCTTGTGTTTTTCTTTATTAGGAGAAAGGGGAAGGTGTTTTCCTTCTCACAGTCTTGCTTCTATCTCCCTAATTTGGGGGTTTGGGGAGGAGAGAAAGAAAGAAGAAGGTGGCAGGCAGTTAAGTATCAATGAAAGCTATCTTTGTTGACTTGATTGGATACAATGCACCCAGTTGTGGAGGAGAGAGAGAGAAAAAAATATTTGATTGATTGATTGATTGATTGATGCCATCCAACTCCCAATTACAGTATTTGATAACAGTGTTTCTTTTTTCCTTCTCAGGACCCCCTCCCACATTTAAAAATTATGGAAGACCTCAAAAAAGAGCTTTTGTTTGTATGGTTTATATTTATTATTACCATGTTAAAAGTTTAAATTGATGCATTTGTAGAATATTTATTAAATATGTAAAAATAATAGGAAAGCCATTAGACATGAACATAAAATGTTTTTTATTATCTTATTAATAATAGTAATAATCTTGTGGACCCTTGAGAGAGTCTTGGGGAATTCCCAAAAGGCCCTTGAACCACACTTTCAGAAACACTGTTCTAAAGTGACTGTAGAGTTTCACTTAAAAAGCAAAATCAAATGCTGCCAGTGTCCTGGTAGTGATAGTCAGCTGAGCCAAGAAGTTTATTTTAGGATTCAGAAGCAATGAGCTTACCTAAGGAATATAGGCAATGCAACAAACGTTTCTTTGCTGCAAGACTGAAAGTACAGGGAAAAAGCATAAGGGAATTATCCAAATACATGCCAGTCCTTCAAGGCAGCAGATGACACTACCAGCTGGGTTCCATGGAGCGTAAGACCTTTTGGATGGTCTACAAGTCTTGCAAAATACAACTGTCCCCAACTGCCTTTTATATAAAACTGCCTTTTATATTTTAAATTTGATTGGTTTTGATCATGAGCTTATCCTTGGGTAATGTGTGAAGGACAACCTTACCTGGATATGTCTGAGTCTTTGCAGTTATGCTTTTAGGGAGCAACTTGGTGCTGGGCAGAAGAATCATATACTTTTCTACATTGGAGGACGTCCAAGTACAAATAAGCAGGAAAAGAAGGAAACTACTTTCAGCCTGTTAGTTTGAGGTGAAAAATCTGACACTCCACTATACTTTCTCACCCAATCTTCCTTAATGTCAATACAGCCAGAAAATGTAGCATCTCTTCTTTACCATTAAAAAGAACTATTGCAATCTTGAACAAGAGTGGTCCATTTAGGCTGGAGGCTATTCTGTAAATCTTTACAGTAAATGTGTAGGTAAATTGAACTACCTAATAAAACAGATCTGTGGTGAGCAATATTATCAGGAAGAAGGTCTGGTCTGGATCTAGACAGTCATGAATTATATTCAATCTACATTCAGGTAGAAAGACAACTGATATAAAATCAGTGGAAACTGATGCCGCATTCGTACCTCTAAAAAAATACAGAAAACTGAGCTTTTATTTATGGTATTTATGTAATTCAATCTGGACTTTGAGTAGTTCATCAATAGTAACAGAAAAACCAATGCAAACCAAAAACAAGAGGGCAACTAGGCACAATATACAAACAGAAAGCACAAATATCTGACATACCCAAGGAGCCTCATTTGTCACATCAGAAGATCTGGAAAAACAATCAGATCTTCAATGTTTTATGGAATGCCAACAGGATGGGAGCTACATGGATTTCACTCCAAAGAGTTTTAGGAAATGTTTGGGCATCTATTACCGTGATGGCACGCATGCTGGAAGTGGCACACAGAGCCATCTCTCTGGGCACACGAGCCATCGCCCGTTGTTCTTCCGGCATGCGGTTCCGGCATGCAGTTTTCATGTGCATGAGAGCGCCAGAAACCAGAAGAGCAGCTGCTCTTCGGATGATCTTCCAGGTGTCAAGTTTCCGAAAGATGCCCTAATTAATTCATGAGCCATGATCCAAACTTCAAAGGAAATATAGTAATTTATTAGGAGCAACATTCCGGCAATACTCGGATGCAGTTAGGACTGATCCTACGTAGATTTACGTTCCCCTATGACCCTGTCTCTCCCCTCCTCTCTGGCCATGTCATAAATCACATTCTCCAATTAACCACTTTGGCTGGCTGTGAAACCTAACACCCTCCTTCTGATTGCGGTCAGAAAGAATGTATGGAATTCACTTCAGTTCTCCCTCCCTCCTGCTCATGGTAACTTGAAAGCTTTGCAAGTTGACACCAGGTTCTGGCGCACACATGCTTACTGGCCACCTGGTCTTCCGGTTTCTGGCACACATGAGCACGCAAAGACCAGCTGACCTGTGAGTGTGTGCATGCCGGAAACTGGAAGATCATCTTCCCAGCACGTGCATGCGCACCGGGTGGCTGCTCTTCTGTTTTTTGGCATGTGTGCGCACACATGCGCACGCTCCTGTTTCAGCACTCGGTGCCGAAAAGGTTCGCCAACACTGATCTATTACATCATTAGCAACAATGCAACAAATCTTCAATACTTGTGGCAATCCTAACCAAAGGCTTGGCTTGGCTTGATTTTGTTTTAAACCGTGTGTTTTATTTTATTTTTTTGGAATACTGATCAACTTCCCTGGAAATATATAGAATATGGTTATATTTTAAAAGCCTCTCTAGGAAAAGTCATTGATGCTTGGTCTTCTGCAAAACAGTAAGAACTCCAAGGGGAAGCTAGCAAGAGTGAGCTTCCTCCCTCAGTTTCCTATGCAAAAATCTCTCTGCAGACCAGCTCAGCTACATCAATATTAGGGCTCATACTGACATCCGCTGGCAAGCAGAGGTTCTAGCATCAATTTCTCTGATACAATCTGTCCAGATTGTCAAGCAAGGAAGGAAGAGAGGAAGGATGTGTTTTTGACTTTACCGGTTGCCACTGTAGGCTTTTAATTAAAAGGCAGGATATAAATCTTTTTGATTAATAAATGAAGATTCTACCATTGTTAAATAAATTATGCTCTACAATTAATCAGCAGTGCCATTCTGTTTTTACTATAGCTGAGACAATCGGTTCTGGCTTTCCACTTAGCAGCGTTGTAATGACTACACATCCTTTCTCTTGTTTTTATTTCTTCAGGAACATGCATGAACCATGACTGCCAGAAAGAGGACCTTCCCATGGGAGGAGCAACTCCCCAGAAATTTGCACAGCTCCCATCCTACAAGAGTTCCACAAGTCTTTGAAAATGTAGATGTGCTCCCTGCAGTGAGATTACAGTATTATATGCTCTAATTGGAAAAAGTCCAGCACTATCACAATGGAGGAATGGTTGGTGAAGATGATGATGATTTCAAAAAGTAGAATAACAACCTGCCCCCCCCCATTTTCCTAACTGAGATTTGAAAGAAGAGAAAGCAGTATGTGAGTTATAAATATTGTGAATGTGAAATTTTAGCGTAATTCCAATATGTAATAAATTCTAATATCTTTCAATTCGGCAATTTTAAAATCAATATACAGTACTGCCTTCAACATTATCTCTGTGTTTGTGCATGTGTGCATACGCTTTGAATGTGTGTGTATGTGTGGGCATATACTGTATGTGAGTATGTCTCTTTCTTTCCTCCCCCTCCCCCCAGGTATATATGTGTATGTGTATCCGTTTGTGTATACCTATATGTCGTGTTTTTGTGTATATATATACACACACACACACACCAATTGTGTGATCCTTTGGGTCATTGTCAGGCCCAAAGAAATCAGGAATGAGACAGTTACTTCTGAATAGTTCTGAATATTGTTTCTCACCTATAGATAGAATCTTGCCAGGATAAAGCAATTATCTGCAATAACTATAGATATACTCTTTGGATTGCTAGGGTGGGTCCAGTCCAGGGGTGGTATTCACTAACCTTCACTACTGATTCACAAATGTGAGCACACACGCCTCCGCCACACATGCAGAAAGTCTTCTCACACGATCCGGATCGAGCTGGCTGAATTTCACCACTGGTCCAGTCTTGCTCTCTTCCTGCCTACCAGACATTCCAAGCTCCGCTGTCTCTTTGCCCCCTGGGAGGGAACCCCTCCCTCCTACAACTCCAGACTACATTCCATCACAGTCATCCTTTGAAAGAAAGTTTGTGTTGTCTGATGTGAGCAGAATGAACATTATGGTTTTGGTTGACCATATATTTTTTACCTCAGTGCTGGACAGTCCCACAATCATTTGTAAATTCTGGTCCTCCCTTGGGCATGAAAGCCACTGGATCAGTGGTGAAATCCAAATTTTTTTACTACTGGTTCTGTGGGCATGGCTTGATGGGTGTGGTGTGGCTTGGTGGGCGTAGCTTGGTGGGCGTGGCAGGGGAAGGATACTGCAAAATCCCCATTCCCTCCCCACTCCAGGGGAAGGATACTGCAAAATCCCCATTCCCTCCCCACTCCAGGGGAAGGATACTGCAAAATCTCCATTCCCACCCATTCCAGGGGCCAGCCAGAGGTGGTATTTGCTGATTGTCCGAACTACGCAAAATTTCCACTACGGTTCTCCGAACTGCTCAAAATTTCCCCTGCCGGTTCTCCAGAACCTGCTGGATTTCACCCCTGCACTGAATTACTTGTGGCCAAACACACTGTCTCAGCGCAACCACCTCACAGGGTTGCATCTGTGGGGAAATAGCAAGCTGGAAGAAGCAATGGTCACCTTTTTGAGTTATATATAATTGTAATAATAATATTGATAGATTATACCTGCCCTACAGAAATGGAGGCAGAGGTTTGCTTAAGATCAAACAAACCGTCAAAGAAGAAAAAACATGTGTTGGCTGATTATGTAAAAGACAGCTAAGCAGAAGCACTGAGGCAAGTTAAAAATTGGAATTTACACAAATACATAAACTGGCCGTGGTGGTCCCAGTGGTCATTGACATAGTGGGAGCCATAACCCAAAAAAATTCGGATGTCCCTTAGAAAAATCTGTGCATTGACAAAATGTCCATCTGTCAATTACAAAAGGCCATGCTGCTTGAATCTGCACATATCCTAAGCCAATATGTTAAGACATCCTTATTGTGATAAACTTGATGCATATGAAGAGCTGGCAGCTGTGATTTCACATTGTTGTATGTAATAAAGCAAAGATAATACCAGCAGTAATAGGCCTCTTGGGTACAATCCCAAAACCGCTGAAGCTCCACTTGAACACCATTAGCATTGACAAAATCGTCATCAGTCAATTGCAAAAGGCATCTTTAGTTGGAACAACTTACATCCTGCAATTATATTTTCAACACCATCAAACAACAACATCTACCGATCCAAAGTCCTTGGGAAGGACACGATATGCTGATAAAAATGCCAAATCCTGTCGAATTATCTGGCTGACTATGCAATAAACCATAATATGAGCCCATATATTTGGAGACAAACATCAAAAGAAAAAGATAAGTATAACCTCCGCCCAGCTACAGGGCTGATGGGTCTTGTTAATACAGGTAGTCCTCGATTTATGACCAGAATTGAGCCCAAAATTTCTGTTGTTAAGTGAGTTTTGTCCCATTTTATGACTTTTCTCACCACGGTTGTTCAGTGAATCACTGCAGTTTATAAATTAGTAACCTGGCTGTTAAGTGAATCTGGCTTCCCCATTGACGTTGCTTGTCAAAGGTTCACAAAAGGGGACACATGACCCTGGGACACTGCAAATGGTCATAAATATGAACCCGTTGCCAAGCATCTCAATTCTGATCACATCATCATGGGGATGCTGCAAAGGTCGTAACTATGAAAAATGATCATAAATCATAAATCATATTTTTCAGTGCTGTCGTAACTGAATGGTCACTAAATGAACTGTTGTAAGTCGAAGGACTACCTGTAGTTTGTTGCCACTTACCAATCAGTGCAGCATTTGTTATAATCTTGGCAAAAATCTTGAGAGGAAAAGTAATCTCTTTCACAAATAAGATGGATGTAAAAAAGATGGATACATGCACAGAATTTTACTAAATTTTAAGGGAAAATTGGGCATACAGGGGTTTCTCTCTACCACAGGAGATAACGTTTTTGTTTTCCTGTTCAAATCCTTTCTAATTGAGTCCCCACTGTAGTAAAAGCCAATACAAGTTTGGGCTATTCTCTCCATAAAATTCTAGCAGACTACATATTACCCAAGCTTTTCATAGAACATTTAAAAATTAATCAGTTTAACAAACAGTGCCATCTACTGAGAGAAAAGATATTTTAGAAGTAGAGCTAACAAAGTATTTCCACACCTCTGTCTACAAAATATAAAACTTGGATCACATTCAGTGGTAAAATCCAATTTTTTTTACTACCGGTTCTGTGGGTGTGGATACTGCAAAATCTCCATTCCCACCAGACTCCGGGGGAAGGATGCTGCAAAATCCCCATTCCCTCTCCACTCCTGGGGGAAGGATACTGCAAAATCTCCATTCCCACCCCACTCCAGGGGAAGGATACTGCAAAATCCACATTCCCTCCCCACTCTGGGGCCAGCCAGAGGTAGTATTTGCTGGTTCTCTGAACTACTCAAAATTTCCGCTACCGGGTTTTCCAGAACCTGTCAGAACCTGCTGGATTTCATCCCTGATCACATTGCCTGTGGATGATTCACATCGGTGAATGTTAAGTTGAAAAGAAAAAAGTCAACTCTAGGATCTAAGGATCACAGATGAAACTTTGCATCCTCTTAAGAAACAATCCAACTATAAAGCAAAGCAGAGCAAAACAGGAAAGATACTATAAGTCAAAATGTTTGTTGGGCATTTTTTAAAAACTATGCTGCAATTAAACTGGCAAAATGAGGCCAAAGGCAGGTAAAATTAAGGAAAGAGAAATGTTGAACAGGCATTAGGTGAAAAGTTGACATTGTCTACTTGTTTATACCTCTATCAAAAGCCACATAACTTTCCAGAATTACTGGAAACAATACTGTGGATTCTTATCATGGAACGGAGGTTCGGTTATTTCACCTTTTAACTCTTTTACGTAACAGCAGCAGAATAGAGTTACCGTGTTTCCCTGAAAATAAGACCCTGTCTTATATTTTTTTGAACCCTGAAATAATTATTTTCGGGGAGGTCTTATTATTTTGGGATGCGTGGAGCAAGACGGGGCTCCTCTTGCTGTCTTACCTGATTTCCAGCTCTGTCTCCCTAACCCTAACCAGAGGAAATGGCAGTGACTGGCTGCACATGCGTTTAAATATTTTCGGGGTGGGCTTATTTTTAGGGAGGAGTTATTTTCGGGGGGGGTTTTAGTGCATGCACTCAAAAGCCCGATTGGGCTTATTATCCGGGGAGCAGTGGTGAAATGTAAAATTTGTTACTACCGATTCTGTGGGCGTGGCTTGGTGGAGGGGTAATGTGACTGGGTTGGCATGGCCAACTTTTTTTTTTTTTTAACTTTTCAAAGCATTTTTTCTAATGCTTTGAAAAGCCTCTGCCGATCAGGAAACTCAGCTGGGATTGCAGAGACGCTTTTTAAAAAATACCTCTCTGCCAATCAGGCAACTCAGCTGGGATCATCAGAGACTTTTCAAAGCATTTTTTAACCACCTCTTCAGCCAAGAGGTTGCAGAAAAAAATGCTTTGAAAAGCCTCTGACTATCCCAGCTGAGCCGTGCGATCATCAAAGGCTTTTTTTTTTTACTTTTAAAAGCATTTTTTCGTCGGAAGAGGTTGTAGAAAAAATACTTTTAAAAGTAAAAAAAAAAAAAGCCTCTGATGATCCTGCAGCTCAGCTGGGCATGGTGGGGCGGGGGGTGCAGGGATTCTCTGAACCACCCGCCACCATTGCTACCGGATCGGGTGATCTGGTCCGAACCGGGAGCATTTCACCCCTGCCGGGGAGGTCTTATTTTCGGGGAAACATGGTGGTGAGTAGGATCCTGGGTGATCCCTAATTTATTCTGCATCAAAAATAGAACAACTTGGTGGACTGAGAAGATATATCCAATGGGTTTAGCACACGGTGATGTATTTGGGGAAGTGACCATAAGATTGGGAAACTTGCATCATCACAATTCTATGCAAAAAGGCTGCTTCTCTGTTCAATGTGGAGAGAAGTATGTCAAACAACATTAGGACAAAAATGTGTGATAAAATAGGCCGAAGTAACTCCATATTACCTGAATAGAGGCTAACAGCATAGTGATTGCACATAGCCAATGAGGAGAGAGCTGATGTATGAGATATGAGCAACTATTATTTTAAAAAAATGGTTAAAGGAGCTTTCTGTCTGAGAACAAAGAGGAGGTTGTTAATGGTTTGATGCATGCTGGCTTTTGCATCAACTTTAAGCAATGTACAAATAGGTATGAGATGGTCAAGTCCAAAAAACCTGAACCACACATTAAGTTCCAGTTAAGGTGATTTATTTCATGTGCCTACGCACAAGAATCTAGTCAACAAATGGTCAGCACTATTTTGTCACTTGATAAGGGTTAGCAGAATTCAAGAGGAGTTGGA